GGAGGAGGAGGAGGAGGAAGAACACTAACCACTTCGTTCAAATAGCAACAATAGCGACAAGGAATACGAAATCCAAGAACACTACCAATATTCGAGGTTATAGTATCTCAGATTTCGAGACTCATCGCAGTTTGCGTGATGTTTTATTACCGATCAAAAGGAGAAAAGTCGTTTGCAAGAGCAACAATGCTTCACTTTGTTGACACCGGCGGGAAGAGTCAAAGAGATACAATAGCGGAGGTGGGTATGCAGACGGGTGGACACATGAATGAACATTCTTCTTCAAGATGGGCACTAGCATGTATGCAAACGGTCTTTATTAGCTAGAGTTATACAGCATCTTTGGTATGGACTTGAGATATATTGCCAATGCTTTCAATGGTATAGTGCTTAACGATGAATATGTTTTGTGATATATGATTCTATTGTCGTCTGTACATCACTCCTACTCTACAAAATCGTATCAGATAGACTGCACCGGCGCTTGAGGAGCATTTAGCTTTAAACTGTAGTCCCTTAATGACATATGATACGCAACAAAAGCCGTTGGGCTCATCATTGCCATAATATCATGCATTAAACAGCCATTAGGGGATGTCCTTGGAACTCCGAATTGGCAATGTCTCCTTTTCATATACAGTTAAGCAGATTATACCTATCACAAGTAGTTGCATTCAGGTCCGTGAATCAGTCGAGGGTGATGCTCAACTTCATCTCATCCTATGTCTCTAATCATAGAGGCCTGCATCACTTGCGAGGTGTTTATATCCGTTCGTCATAGCTCTACAATAGAGTATCGTTCCGATTTTCGGCCTTTACGTCATAGCTTTTATATAAAACAAAACGGTAAGTCCATGTGGTCTTGGACAGCGTGCATCCTGGGCTCAGCTTTATGCGAATGTGCTCATCTTACAGATACACCACCAGATTGTATCTTTCATTGCATCAGACTATGGCCTAGTAAAATTATGGAGATTACTTATGGCTGCACTCAGCCATATTATTTGTTAAGATGGAGTTAAGTATTTAGTGATTTTGTATACGTGAATCAGAAACCAGGGGTTGATGGTGATGAGGCAACATGGGTCATTAGAGCTCCAGCAAACTACTTTGGTGCAAGGAGACCAATTTCACCCGTTCACCTTACAAGAAGACACGTTTTGATCGATAATTTTCCACTTCGTTCTAGTCTGGAGGTTAAGCTCATCACTAGCCTATATAACTCATCCCCTGCCAAACTCATTGTTGATGCCATCATCATACTTCTTGTGAAAGAATTCGCCATTAAAGCGCCGTGTTGTAACAATCCCAAACCTAGAACTCCCAGGGACTTTTGACCGTTGACGCAGTACAGATAACCTGAAAACTTATCCGTTCCCCAAACCCCTATAAATGCACCCCAATTCCCGTGAAAAGCGACTGCCCGTCGCGTTGTAAATACTCCCGCTACCCTTTGATATTGTTGAAGACCAGACTTGGTCAGAAAAAAGAAGATAGAAAACGAGTTGTGCCACATGTGGCTTTTTGCGTTAGACGCTGTTTGGTATCTTGGAATGTCATCTAGTGATGAAGTCTCGTTGTAGATGGTGCTTAAGAAGGAGTACCGCGCTCTTCGACACGCTCTCCTTCAAAGCTGTACAACCGCACCTCGCCATCTTCACTGCCACTTGCCATGCGGCTGTCACTCAAACCGACACAGGTGACTGGGCCAGCATGGCCAGTGAAGCTCCGCTCACACTTTCCAGAGCGAGGTTCCCAGATCTTGGTCATGGAGTCATTAGCCCCTGTGACCACACGAAGAGTGTCACCAACAAGGCCCCAGATGCCCTCAACATGACCAAACATGCTGCGGATGCACTTGCCAGTGGTAGTGTCCCACAAACGGACCGTGTTGTCCAGTCCACCAGTGAGCATGTAGCGCGGGGGCAGCGGACGGTCGGGGTCGGATGTGAAACCCGAGCCATAAGCCGCCCGAGCATCGACAGGCTGCTCGGCAGTCGCTGCAGGGGGGCTGTTACTTCGACCACTGGATACGGATGCAGTGTCTGTGGTGTCCAGTTGAGGCACCTCATCAGGCTCAAAGTCAGCAGGCATCAGGAGAACTTGCTGGACCTGGCCAACATGGCCAAGGAATGTCTTGATACACTGCTTTGAGTCGATGTCCCAAAGCTTGACCGAGAGATCATCCGATGCCGAAAAGATGACACGCGAGGGCGAGTCAATTCGCACGTGGTTGACCCAGTCAGTATGACCTCGAAGACAGAATGTCTGCTTGGTATCAAAGCTGAACACCTTGACGGTCTTGTCGATGGAGCCGGATGCCAGAGTACATCCATCGTAGTGGACTGACAATACACCCTCGGTATGGCATTGGAGTGTGTTCAAACACTCTCCTGTTTGCCAGTTCCAAATCTTGATGGTCTTGTCAAAGCTGCCGCTAATCAACTTGGAATCGTCAAATTGAAGAGTGCGAACTGCCGAAGTGTGTCCTCGGAGCGTGCGCATAACTTCTCCTGTCTCGATGTTCCAAATCTTGATAGTCGTATCATAGGAGCCGGTTGCAAGGATGTTGTCGTCAAACTGGAGACAAGTAACGCCATTCTCATGACCTTTGAAGGTCTTGATGGAGCAACGACCAGTCTTCCAGTTGTACCCCACCTTGAAACGATCGCGATAAACGTCTTTCCATGGTCGAAATTTGCGTTCTTGTTCCAGCTGTTGTCTTGACTTTTCTCCGTTGCTCACACGAGAGCGTTTGGCAACTCGATCATCATGATGGTGTTCGTCTTCGGCTTGTCGTTTTCGTGAATCGCTCGATTGTGTCTCAGCCTCGTCGACGATCTCTACCACGTCGGCGGCATTCGGTTGTCGGTGAACTTGTTGATGGCGGCTCCACGCCGTCAATTTTTTCTTCTCGAGAAGAGGTAGACCCCAACCGCACTTGGTACATTTGCGATCAATGTGTTGTTCGCACATGCGGTGCCATACCACGTCGTCGTCGGCGAGGTTTCTCCATCTACGGCTGACTTGAGCGGCCTTGCAGAGAGAGACTGTGTCGAGATATGATAGGATCTTGTAGGAAAGTTCGGTAGGAAGAGCGGCAAGAAAGTCGATCTTTAGTTGTTCTTGTACCTCGCGTGATACAGTAGAGAGTTGAGGGAAGCAGCATTGTGTAATGATGCCCTGTAGCATCAACTCACGATGTTTTGATGGGGCAGCAGAAAAGAGAGACCAGACGTGAGTAATGGCTTCTTGGTCTGCGGATGAAAGACTGTTGAGTTCCTTCGTGAATGTCAGCATAACCTATCAGGGTATTTTACTAAGAGCCACGACAAGCCGAAGTGGCTTAAGTGGTTGAGGTTGGGGGAACTGGACTTACAGTTTGGATAAAACCCATCTTGGTCTCGTCGGCGGCGCGTCGACATTTCGAGTCGGGTCGGTGACGATAGCAAAACTTGCTGTTGGGATCTCTCTTTCGAATCGCAGTGGTATTGTTGGGATTTGGAGATAGAGGCATGGCTGTCTTTGCCTTGCCAAAGGGTGCATAGAGGCCAGGAATATGTTCCTTGAGGAACGGGCTGACGGTCTTGCTGACCAATTCGGAAGGCATCTTGACGAGACGTGGGTTGATTTCTTGATCGGATCGTTGTCTATCGCAATTGTTTTTGGAGGGTTGTTGGGAAGAGTTGTCGTCGAGGTGTTCGGAGTCGATGTCGGAGACTTTCAAAGAGTGGCCGTTTGTAGGAGGAAGGGGTGAGGATGAGTCAAGTTCTGTGGACGGCGCAGAAGCATGGCGATGTGTGGGATTTGTTATTGTATCCGAAGTAGGTTGCGAATCAAAAGATGAAGTAGGTATAGAGGAATGAAGAAGAGTTGAAGCACCGGGGGTTGCGACAGAGGGATCGGAGGAGGGCCGATGGCCGTTGACGAGCGAGGGGCTTTCCATGGCGCAGGCGCAGACTCAGAGGCACAGGAGTATGTATGTAGTACCAGAGTGTAGGTAAAACACAAGCAAGGGCCGGGCCTGGGGGTGGGAAATTGGAGTCGCGCGATGAGAAGGTGAGATATCGTAACTCGCGGGCCTTGATCCGGGGAAGAGTGGCAGAAGGGATCTGAGGCAAAGTGACTGGTGGATGGCGTGCTATGTACCAACGGCAGCACGAGCTTAGACCCCCGGTCAAGAGGCGGTACGACAAGACAAGACAAGACTACCTATGCCGATTGTGCTTGGTTCCAGAGGACGCTAATTGGATTGTGGAAGGAGGTGAGACAGGACGTGATTTGTTCTTTTGTCTCCGAAGGTTGTCGAGAGGATTCGAGATGGCTGATTGTACAGTACAGTACGTAAAGGTAACGAGTGGCTTGTTTGGTGTGAAAAGTGTAAGAGACCCAATCGAGTGTGACGTTTGTTGGCCAACCTTGATGAGAGAAAGATGGTTCGGGTCGTCGGGGAGGGCCCCCTCCTTTCCGTCTAAGCTGAGTCGACTCGTGCCAGAAATCTTTTTGACCAACACCCAACCCAATTGTCTGGCAAGTCTGGCCAAATGGCGGGGGAATGACAGGGAAAGAGGGTCTTTCACTACAACCTCGACTTTTGACTGTCGACCAATTGAAGTTCTAGATATCGACTAACAATTCATTCATATCAGTGCTATTCCCTATCATATCACCCCGACACTCTCTATCGTTCTGTTATCTTTCAGCTTCCTCTTCTCATCCTTTTGTGCGACCGCATCCTTCTTTCCATTCCAGATAACATGTACCCCCCTGTCAGCTTTTCCCGCACTGATTTGAGCCCTGGAGGCGTCTTGCCTGGTTGATTCTGTTCAATCATCTCTCAGAACCTCTTTCAAATTTGGGACCGAAATGGCGTTATCAGCGGCCGATCTCATAAAAGTGGGTCTGAGACACGGCACTCGGTCGGTATAAGTCAAGATGGCGGCTCTGCTGAGCGATACAAAGTTGATGACATTCGCCACTGAAGCATCGCCATGAGAATTGATATGGAATTTGAACATTTCAATATCAATCTCATGTCAGGGGCAAGGCACGACGTCTCACAGCATTATCAAGGTATCTGACGCTCTCGCAACTTGGCTTCTACCAGGTCATGCACCAGAACGGGGCGTGGACGGGGCATGACTGATTTTAGACTTGGACCCTTTGAGACCCTCAGAGAAAAACTCCTTCTGCAATAAGGACGGCACTGGCTAGACTGGACTGGACTGGCCCATGGTGGTCTCTTGCTTGAATACGATAATCCACTTCACGTTGACTTACATTGAATTTTCGGTGTTGACGGCAGATGAAAAAGAAAATGGATCCTCGAGTGCCGCCGTATCCTCTTCTCTGTTACATAACAAGACCCCATCGTCAGAATTCTCTTCTCAAGTCTCCTCTTTTTTCCGTCTTCTTTTCTCCTAGACTGGCAGACTGGGCTTCCTTTTTACTTTGCTGCTGCCCCTCTTTTGAATTGAAGCCTGCAGCTGATCATTCTTTTAACTCTGTTCTTTAATAGGCCGTTGTCCATCTTGCATATACGCCACAGACAGCCACGATGTATGTACGATAAACTCATACCGCAGACTCATCAATGCAGATATTATGCGCCTCGACAAGTTCCAGTAAGACCGTTTACTGTTCTGGAATATATCGCCTGAGATGATGTGATTTTGCCATGTCAATCGACCTCTTCTCGGTCCCATGTCACTATCTTTGTCATCACGAATCTTTCGCCATCCCGAGTTCCGAGTCGACTCATCTTCACCCTGGCAGCTTATCAACCACTCAACCCTGATAAACCATCACTTAATCAACAATCACGCAAGAAAAGGGGGAATTCTTTTGATCCGAGGCCTCCGTATCTTTCGACTTCTTAACTTTGTTTTCTTGCTGGCATTGGCTCATAGTTAATGTTTGATCATATAGCCAAGTCGAGACCTTGTTGCTCACTTTGCTGCCTGAGCACATCATCAGAGGCATGACCATGGCGCTGAACCATAATCCCATGGTTGGCAAATGGAATTTGGAGATGCCATGATTCTTGCTACTGGGGGAACCCTTTTGAACTCACGTTGCCCCCTTTACATGACCAAGCTTCTGTTTTGGTCTTGGTTCATCGTCTCTCTCATTCTTCTTAGTTCTTGCAATCCACGACTCTGCGACACCGACAGTCAATTATTGGCGTGTCATGATGGAGGATCGTCATATCCTAGCTCACCACTGACCAGGCTCGGAACTTTTTCTTCCACTCGAATGCATGTGTTTCGCACAGATCGCAGGGTGTGCCCATGCAAGACCATCTATAGAAGCCGTACACGTACAGGCCCCTACCAGCTTCCATAGATGCCCTCAGCCACAGGCTCCCTACTTACCTGCCTTGTCCTTCTAGGCGCGCGCTGCAATCTTGTTTCAGAGAGCATCGCGACATTCTACGGCGGTGTGGCGAAATTCGGAAACAAAGCAAAACATGCTGCCTCGTTGGTGTTTCTGACTCTGCCCAACGGGCACAAATATGCAGCTAGAAGGTTTTGCAAGGGAGATGATATCTGATTCTCGTCATAATAGCAGATGGATGAGGAATCAAGATCAGGATCTTTTGCATCGTAGACTGAGCTGGGCGCAATCTTGAGGTCGGGTCTGTCCCGACTCTTGCGCAATGTAGACTGTTGATGCTTCAGCGGTGAATATGTGAATTGTGCATGAATTGGTGATGATGATGCGTATCATCACAATTAGCGGAGGACTCGGCATAAGTTGCTCAGATTGGAATGTGACACGGTCAGAGAATCCATGCCTCACTGCAACCTTTCCATCAAGTATCGACGATGATCGATTTGACGTGCATTTTGACGCGATCACGACCCTCTGATATGCTTCGTGAAGCTCAAATACCTATGCATGCATAATGAGTGTATAATATGGTATTAACATTTGAGACTCTATCAACAGCCTCGGTGAGATGGCCGAGTTGGTTATGGCGCCAGGTTAAGGTTAACCTTAACACCAATTTCCTGGTGGAGCAATCCTCCTGGGTTCGAGTCCCAGTCTCATCAAAGAGTTTCTTTTTGCATTTTATATTCCTTGGTTACTATCTATTGTGACATGTGGTTTTTTTGGTGTTTATGACGCCCTTGACTTCTTGAAGCTTGGACGCTAGTTCAGCCTCAGCTGATGGTTCCTAGATGACAAGCTGCTATCGACATTGGCTAGCTCCCTGATATCGTCACAACAAACATGACTTCATCTATGATCTAATCACATCCCGAATTCACGGATAGCAACATCAGATTCCGTCTTTAATTTGCTTCTTCCGCCAATCTCCCCTTCAAACTCCACCGCGGATCATCTATCCCTTGAAGCACTGACCTCGATTCAAAGGCTAGCAATGCCTCAGCATCATCGATCGTTGATGCAACTCTCCCGTTGTCTCATTAACGAAACTCAAGATCGAACTCCACTGCAGTTGAAATAAACCACTTAACGCGTCGAGATCATGTAAATCGCGAATCGGTCGCGGTTAGTTGCTTGCCACTTGCATCACAATCGCCCAGCCACGCGACGATTGATCTAGAGATTAACCTCTCGGATCGAGGTTTTCAATTAAGGGATCAGGGGCACTAGGATCGGGCTGTTAAGTGCTTGCAGCAAGGCTAGTACCAAGCCGTGTCGTTGGTCCTGAGGAGATGATTCATTGAAGTGGTTATCCGTCAATGTCGTCATGGATAGATGCTTTTGTTTGCGGGCCATGACGGAATAGTGGTTTTTGGTGAGAATGGATGTTTCAGTTGAAGAGCAGAAACGAAATCTATAAGAAGAGTTATCTTCTCGAGTGAGAAGAAAGTATATTCTCACCTTCACTCAGTATTCACTCTCATCTACAACTCACCACTAACACCACAACCACTTCTCACACTCCACCAACAACTTTCATCATGTCTTCCGACAGCCTTCAAGATGCCCCCTCCGCCGAGTTCCAGGACGACTCTTACGTCTCTCGCCCTGGTGAGAAGGAACAGCCCATCCCAGTTCAGTCCGACTCAGATCGAGTTGAGGATCCCATCGACGGAGAGCAGGCCGACACTGATGCTCAGCTTGGTATGTCTAAATCCGTTTCTTTACTGGGGCTCTCTCTCTGACACAACAATAGAGCGTGATGATAAGGATGCTATCGACGAAAGCAACATTATCGAGGAGCGTACCCGAGGTGCTGCCCAGCCCAGTGGTACATACCAGGAGCCTGGTGATGAGGAGGGTCTCCCTTCTGACACTGGTCGAAGCTCCAACTATTAAACGAGTTATGAGAGCGTGAAAGCGTTTATTGGATAGCGAATGGATTTGTACGATAGAAGTTGGGAATGAAATGAATTTTGACCAGTTGTAATGACCAAATCAGTGAATGTGTCTGCCACCACTAAGTCCCTCTCGTAACAGCAAGTCGCCCATTCGTGTGAATAACATTACGTTTACAAACATACGTTGCCAAGCACTGCTTCCTCCTATGGTCCGAACCATTGATAATGGTCGGGTTGTATCCCAGTGAAGAACTCAGCAGTAAACCACTAACTACATCTGACCGTAATAATGCCAACATCTTGCAAAATGAGCTGTGTCATTTTCTGCATTTAATCAGCATTGTGACTGAAGTTATGTTTCAATGTATAAAATGCAGACTGCTATCTATGCTACGTCTCTTACATTCTTTCGACATTCGCACCACCATTCTGTGCCTCGCCATACTTTAAGTAAATATGGCCTGAGATCATCTAAAAGACTATCAATGTAGAAATTGGCTCTAGTAGATTTACTAATCTTGAGATGAAAGCCTGTGGCGGGATAAGCGTAAGACATTGGTGTTTGCATAGCAGAGGCATTATCTTGGATGATCAATTCTGTTTAATCTATTACTATACAATGAATATTGAATTCAACATAGAGAACAAAAACAATCAAAAGCAATTTCAAGTATCAGCACCCAAGTAAGCTATGAGCAGGAACAGAAACTCGAAGTAAAGATGGAAACTGATACTTCGACAGCACTTACATGAAATCTCGAGATCCAGGGTAGCCCCCCCACATGGAGCTCCCCCGCCGGGACCGCAACGGGAAGCCCCACTCACCCGCATCGAAAATCTCGTCGTCAACCAAACTAAAAAAAGTGTTCGCCGCGCGATAGCTACAACTTTTCTCTCTCTCGTCAGCTCGACCTTTCGTATTTGTCGCAACCGATGCAAACATGGCGGCAGATAACGAAGCTCCTGCCGCGAGCAGCGCCAACGAGTCTCGTCCCTCGGGCGACAACAATAAAGCCTCTAACAACAATGGCTCTGAGAATCGTCGCAACCCGCGCCATGACCACAGAAAGCCAGGCAAAGGACGATCAGAGAAGGGTCGAGGAGAATGGGGGTAAGTCTTGACCTCAATTGGTGAAATGAGTACAGTTGCCAACGGCGCTAACCAGATACTAGTCGTGAGAAGGGCGACAAGCGCAAGAAGAATGATGAATTTAAGGAGTTCAAGCGTCGCAAACTGAACAAGAAGGGCGATTCGGCTGATGGCGAGTCGAGCAATAATCCATTCTCCAAGGATGAGATTGCTGCTGAGGAGCGAAGACCCAAGCGAAAGGTTGCTGTCATGATTGGATATGCGGGCACTGGCTACAAGGGAATGCAGGTCAATGGCAACGAGAAGACCATTGAGGCCGATCTATTCAAGGCATTTGTCGCCGCAAGCGCTATTTCCAAGGCCAACGCCGACGACCCCAAGAAGTCAAGTCTTGTTCGATGCGCTCGAACCGATAAGGGCGTACATGCGGCTGGCAATGTCATCAGTTTGAAGCTTATCATCGAGGACGAGGATATCGTGGACAAGATCAACGCCGAGCTACCAGAGCAGATCCGAATTTGGGGTATTCAGCGAACAAACAACGCCTTCAGCTGTTACCAGACCTGCGACTCAAGATGGTACGAGTATCTCATGCCTAGCTACTGTCTTTTGCCTCCCCACCCCGAGTCTTTCTTGGGTCAAAAACTGGTTGAGTTGGCCAAGGAGCATGGTGTCGAGGATGAGCTTGCCGCTCGAATGGAGGACGTCAAGGATTTCTGGTCCGATGTGGAAGAGAAGGAGATCAAGCCCATCTTGGCCCGGTTAGACCCCGAGACCAAGGCCGCTGTGTTGGAGCGAGTCCACGTTATGGACGATGAAGAGGTTGCTGCACGCAAGGAGGCTGCGAAAGAGACTGAGGAGAGCGCGCCAGCGGAGGAGAAGCCTGCTACTGAGACACCCGCTGGCGAGGCTGCCGAACAAACCACAGAGCCCGAGGCTCAACAGTCTGGTCTTGTTCTAGAGAGCCACAAGCCCAAGAACAGGGAGCTTGGCCCTGTTGATTTCGCCCTTCGAGACATCAAGGCAGCTTATGTTGCCGCCAAGCGACGATACCGTGTCAGCACCGAGCGTCTCAACCGTCTTCAGGAGGCTCTTAACAAGTACAACGGCACAAAGAACTTTCACAACTACACTGTTCAGAAATCATTCTTCGATCCCTCGGCGAAGCGACACATCAAGTCATTCGTTGTCAACCCCAAGCCCATCATCATTAACGACACAGAATGGCTGTCTCTCAAGGTCCACGGACAGAGTTTCATGATGCACCAGATCCGAAAGATGGTTGGTCTAGCCAGTTTGATCGTCCGCTGTGGCACTCCCATGGAACGTATCAACGAGAGCTACCAGAACCAAAAGATGGCTATCCCCAAAGCCCCCGGTCTCGGACTCTTGCTTGAGCGACCGGTCTTCCACAACTACAACCGAAAGGCTACCGAGTCGCTCGGAAAGGAAGCGATCGACTTTGACAAGTACGAAGAGAAGATCCAAGCCTTCAAGGACAAGCAGATCTACACTCGTATTTTCACTGTGGAGGAGAAGGATAACTCGTAAGTACTGACGCATGCAACAAGTCGGACAGGGCTAACAAGACACGGCAGGTTTCACATGTTCTTCAACCAAATTGATCAGTTCAAGACAAATCACTTCCTGTGGCTCACAGCTGGCGGTATGAAGGCTGCCGAAATCGCAAGGGACACGACAGGTGAAAAGGTGCAGCAGGATGTCGATAAGCAGCTCGGTGATGAGGATGAGGAGGACCCCGAGGGCGGTGAGGGTTAGAATGTGTAACAGTAAAAACTGGATAGAGGATCAGGTTGTTTGATACGAAATGTTGTAAACGATGCATTGTTTCATCATCGGACGTCTCGGTGCTGTTTTCCACCATTGAAGTGGTTGTGAGTGTGGTTGAGCTGCAGTAGTTACACGGCTTTCGTGTCTTAGATTCAAGAAGAGTTGATTTGAAATCATGCATATTCATAAGTGAATGCTTCTGAAGCGCTGTGTAACTCTCAACTGGATTACTTTCCTTTTCATTGCGTCAAGCCACGAAACACGGGACGCTGTGTAAGTGAAGTCGATTACCCTTCTGGGCGATTGGTGACCAGACCCACTGACTTCAAGGTGAGTCCCGGTGTACTCAGTCCAAGCCTCAGGCATCAGCTTCTCACCGACGCACGGACCGCCCACAATCGAGCGAGGGTTGAAAACCCCAATTTAGCGACTTTTTCGAAATTGGTTACTATCAAAAATCCCAAGCAACACCATCAACTTCGTCGTCGTCAATCCCACGTAGTCGAACCAGCCGTCAAAATGAGCGCCCAGGCCCTTAACAAGATCGCTCCCAACAGCCCCTCGAGGCAGAACCCCTCCGAGCTTGAGACCAGCATCGCTCAGGCTCTCTTCGACCTCGAGTCCAACACCTCCGACCTCAAGGTTGCCCTGCGACCTCTGCAGATCGTCTCTGCCCGTGAGGTGAGAATACCATGAACCAAAAGAATTCCGAACTTGTGTACTCGTTTCGAGAAATCCTGTTCCCACATGAGAGAAATTGCATTGTTCCTCGCAATGGCCTCTCTCCGCCTCCCGACCGCGCACTTTTTCCCGTCGATATTCGAGAGATAATTGACTTGATTGCTGCGCTTAACAAATGTCGTCGGGGCGGAGGATGTGCCAGCCGGAGTATCATTGACTTCTGTGGAACAGGACGGGAAGCGGTCCAAGGTTTCGTCCTGGAGCTCGCATGCTGACTTGGGATCTTGACTAGATCGAGGTTGGCCACGGCAAGAAGGCTATTGTCATCTTTGTCCCCGTCCCTTCCCTGCAGGGCTTCCACCGCGTCCAGCAGCGGTAAGATATCCTCCCATTCTTCTAACCTCAGACTCAATACTAATATTCCTCAGTCTCACCCGTGAGCTCGAGAAGAAGTTCTCTGATCGCCATGTCCTGATCCTCGCTTCTCGCCGCATCTTGCCCCGCCCCAAGCGATCCGCCCGCTCCCGCAACACCCAGAAGCAGAAGCGCCCCCGTTCGCGAACTCTCACTGCTGTCCACGACGCCATCCTCGAGGATCTCACCTACCCCGTCGAGATCGTCGGCAAGCGCGTCCGCACCAAGGAGGACGGCTCCAAGACCCTCAAGGTCATCCTCGACGAGAAGGAGCGTGGTGGTGTTGACTACCGCCTCGACACCTATTCTGAGGTCTACCGCCGCTTGACAGGCCGCAACGTCAACTTCGAGTTCCCTCAGAGCGGTCCCGCCGACTACTAAGTCTGCGTTGTCTTTCGAGATGAAATAGAAGAAATGACTATTTTTTCCCTGATTCGGGGCTGGGAGTGTTTTTTCATCAAATGGTTGGTTGGTCAAAAAAGGGGCTTGGCGTCTTAAAGAAAGTAGCTTGATAAATGGTACAAGCAAGCTGCGTATGATTTGACAAGACAACTTAAACACTTCTTCCCGTCCATGTCTTCACTTCGTCCAATTACTGGGTATCTAGATCTATGTCTCATGTGCATGCATGCCTTTTCTATGTTCAATCGTGACTGATGCGGCCAACTCCAAGCACACACCAATAAGCCAGCTCCCTCCTCTCCTGAGCATCCTTTTCCTTTGCAGATGCTGTACCGACGTCTTGTTGGGAATCAGGCTCCCACTCCATCCTCACAAACATGGGTATCTCTAGAATATCCTCATCCTCCTTCAATGGACTCTTGTCCTTTTGACCGTCGAGTCGTAGTGAAGCGGGAACCACTTCCAAGATGATGCTGACCCAGTTGCGCCCTCGCTCCCAAATCTTACCGGCTTCAGGCTGACCACTGCTCTCTTCACCTTTCCGCTTCTTGTCTCTGTCATCGTCCTTCAGAGCATCATCCCACATGTCTGTGTTTGCATCAATATCAAATTGAGGACACAGAATAGTTACTTTGCTGGAGAATCTGCCAGGCGTAATGTTCGGCGTAGCAAGTGTGACCTTGATTCCATCGAACAAAGGGTTCTTGAAGGTTATAATGTAATGATGCGGGGTGAGGGGCTTGAGCGGTCGCTCTTCTAGAATATGAGGCCGCTGCGTCGTAGGGACTATTCCAACTGTGGGGTTGAGAGGCTTGATGGTGATCGTAGGGATATACGCCTTTGCGACAAGTCTGATCTTGAACCGTGTTGACGTGACCTTGTTTTCTGGCTTGGAAATAATATGCCGGCACACAGAGCAACGCTTAGACCGCTTTGTTCTGAGAAGATGTGGGATAGGCCGTAGACCATCCTGGAATCTCTGAGCCTCTGCTTGTTCGAGGTTCTGCTGTTTGGTAGCCGTAGCATCCCACCCCTCTTGGTGCAGTTTCTTAATCTGAGCTGATTCATCCAGATCAGCCAACTTGAGACCTTCCTCTGCCGAGAGAGCTTCACGCATCACATCTGAAGGACCATTGCGCTTGCGGGCATGTCCGTGACCAGTGTACATAGCCATGATACGAGACAACGACGCTGCGGGTGATCCATAGCCAGTAGTGTCGTTAAGCGGAGATATACCGCTCGCGGCAGCATTTGTGTCTGCGAGCTGCGACTGGTAGAATGACTTCAAATTGGCATATTGAAGGTCTGTATCGACATCGCTATCGGCAAGAGGTGGCTCATCTGGGTTCTCCTTGCGACGCTCCTTGAGTTCCTTCGCTGTGAGCTTGAGATCTCCTCCATTATTTATCTTTGAGAGCTGCGAGTGAATACCGTTAGGCTTGTCAAACTTGATGCCTATCTCGGTGGAGGACCAGTTGCAGTACTGGCAATACAGTGCATATTGAGGTCCTGGGATGTCGGCGCCAGGGTGTGACTGGTCTCTCTCCACGGGTGTTTCCATAACCTGGACAGGGCCGATACACACGGGACATTGGTAACAGCTTCGGGTACATCTAGGAGGCGCAAGTCAGGCTTGGTCTGGACCACGTCTTTGTGTTGTTTACCTATTCCCGTCGCTGCGCAAGTTACTACTGGGAACCTCAAACAGACAGTTTGGGCAGTAATATGTAACGACCTCCTCGTTCACACATCGCGGACATCGTATTTGCTGGCAGTCTTCGCAGTAGAGGAGGTACTCGAGAGGGTAGAGGCTGTAGTTTGAGCGAGGATCGCGGGGGTCAAAGGTTCGTTCGTCGGAGGATTGTGATTGACGCGCTTGGGGGAGATCGGGGGGAGAGTTGTCGGAACACGGACATTGGATGTACGTGTAAGGTATCACGAGCGCCATGGCAGTGCAAGGTCGTGGAGTTTGGCAGACTCGGGTTGAAGTTGGCAAGGGAGCTGTCTTGAAACTGGGGTCTTTGTTCTCGGTGTGAGGTGAGTATGTAGAGCTATGGTCACTTCGGTGAGGGGCCAATCAGAGACTAACTATACAGATTCATTCAATTAAATGAGTGAACTAGTAGTAAGAATAAAATAATCATGCACTTCTATTTGAACTTGACAAATTGATTCATTTGATAAAATCGCAGAAAGCAAGTGAAAAGCGTTGACTGTCTTCAACACTCTCACGCTCAGTCTCAGCTAACAGCCTCACCGGGAATATTGGAGAGCTGAGTCGGTTTAACATTCCTCTCTTGACGCTCATGAATACCAGCTTAACTCTGGATCATGCGTATACTCTCCTAAACTTATACTGACAGACAGACAAGAGCTATTTAGCAGGGCTTATCAATATGAACATCATGACCCCTGGTGTTGTGCGTCTTCCTGTATGCAGCCCCGAACGGACTTTTAACTCGTGGGGTACAGCAGCCAAGGGCTCAGACACCTTCTACCCATGCGACATCCCCCTCATGTAAGAAGGAAGGCGGCGATTCAACCTTTGACAACGAAACAAGCGACGCATTTACTTTAGTTAAGGATTGCCGAACCATTATCAAGAATATTGAGGGAGATGCTGGCACCTTGTGGAAACGTCTCGTTGTTTGGAAGCCGCATCGTTGACCTTGGGTACCTGTGCATTCGGAATCGAGGCTACCGCGGTCAATGTGAACGCCGATCTCAACTTGGGTGGACAGGATGTCATCGGAATGATCAGCACCGTCGTCGAGAAATATGGCTAAGGCGGGAAGATCGGTGCTAGTGACTTGAGCTGTAATGCCACTGTGAAGAACCAGCCAGTTTGGTGGGGGATCTATCATACTTGAACAGGCTCCCTGTACTATACTGCGCCTCTAAATAAGTATAGTTAACTTGAACTAGAATGAGAACGGACTCGGAACTATTTAGAGAATTTAGTCATCTTTTTATTCTTTCTTTCACCAAGAACTAAACATAGTCATACTGCCATCCTATCCGCTTTCAAGTTGACAAGTTATCGCTCCATCAAGCTGATCAGTCTTCTTCCTCCTTGAAAAAGGCAACCCTGACTCCATTCTTTGGCGTGAGAACAATATTCGCCGACAGAATACCCATCTCATCCGGTTCCATGCGTCGCTCAACTCGCGCAAATTGTTGAAAGATGCGCACAAGCGTGTAACCCATCTCTGTGAGAGCAAACTGCTGCCCAAGGCAGATTCTAGGACCGCCATTGAAAGGAATGTAGGTCCAAGGACGAGGTGACCATTCTTTGTTGTTAAAGCCGCTGGCCTTCATCTCCGATGCGTCCTTCTCAGAAGTGTGTAATACTGAAGGGTGTAGCCAACGCTCTGGATCAAAAGTATTGGGATCTGGAAACTTGTCTCCGTTGCTATATGTGGCTGGATACAGGTCGCTTCTCCTCATCATCACAAGTGGCGTATATGCAATGATTGTATCCTTCTTCACTGAGATAAATTGATTGCCATCTGACCCTCCACCACGAGGCAGCGATGTGTCGTCTAAGGCGATTCGCATGTTGAAAGGAATGGCTGGGTACATGCGAAGGGTCTCATTGAGGATGGCCTGAAGATATTTCATTGCTTTCAACTCTGCAAACGACGGATTCTGGCCAGGCTTGACATGTTGAGCAATTTCCTGGCGAAGGCGACGAACCATGTCCGGATGGCCTGAAAGCTCATGTAGTACCCATGAAAGAGTGGCTGCCGTTGTGTCTCGACCAGCGAGAAGTACAGCTACGAGTTGATCCCGTATCTGTTTAGCATCTCGTGTGTATAAAGCCAGAGCACTGAGGAATGTGTAGCCGCGATCAGATTTCGTGAGCTTTTCTAGCTCATCGCGCTCGAGGGACAATGTTTCAGAGATAAAAACTTCCATGAACTTGTTAATAGTGTTGAGGCTGGAATGATATGACTTTAACGATACGAATGATTGGAGAGGTCTGATATACTCATGGTTAAATGATGTTCAACGAAGAGGAAAGGTAACTTGCCCAGAAACGGTGATGAGACGCTGCACCCTTTGTATCTCTGCGAAAGCTACCGCAAACTTTATTCAAAGAAATATCGGATCAGCAGAGGTTCGAGACTCATCAGCACAAATTCACTTACTTGTTCTCTGGGGTTATCCAAGCTGTTTATAGCTTGCCCAAACAGAAAGTCCGTGGCTACGTCGAGTGTAAAGCGGAAGAAAAGATCTTTCACATCCACGTCAATAGGTTGACCCTCGGGACCTTGGAGCATTCTAGTCAATTTGACTGTGTGCTTCTCAAAGACAGCCAAGTCTTCAATGCGCTGACGCAAAAACAAGGGTTTGATCAACCCTCGAGCATCTTGCCAGAGTCGGCCTGTACAGTCAGGTCAGCAGCCGTCGTCGTTGTTGCAATAGACGCAGTGACCTACCATCAGTCGCAAAGATGGAATCTCCTAAGAATTCCTTCCAGTCGTGATAAAACTTTGGTCCTTTGCCATAGTCAGAGAATTTGGTGGCCAGGACAGCTTTGATATTCTCATGATCTGCGGTGAAGATAACACGGTCACCACCAAGAACAACCTCAGCAGTATATGGTGCCGTTCCTCGCCCGTAACGACGGAAGATCATTGACCATAACTTAAGATCTTGGTTAGTTGAGTTGTAGTATGTGGACCAGATGATAAAGTCGATTCCGAAGGGTAGATATGTGGGAATACGTGGCGCAACAGAGATTGATGGAGGCACCAGAAGTCGATTGAGGATGCGACGAGTAAAGTAAATAACAATGATATACAGAGCCAGACGATAGGGATGGTGGATCGCGGCATGAAGCATATAGATCGAAGAGTCAACAAGTGATATAACTGTGTCTGACATGATGAGTTTTGGGCAGAGTGGCTGAAAATAGGTGACTGTTACTGTGATAGGAGTGATTTGGTACTTGAGAGGAACAAAAGCAAGGGAAAAGGGAAAGGAAGTAAGCCGACTTATGTAGGAATATGAGCAAGGAGTGGTAAGCTCTCACGTGAAGCACTTTATGGCTTTGCCAGCCAAGCACACGAAGCCCAGTCACCTTATCGATCCTATAGGGCTTACTTGAGGATATTCAGAATGTTGACAATACGGAACTCGTGGATAGTAATATCTCCCAGGATTCTGATCTGTGAAAACCGTGTGTAGGCAAAGTCATGTAAGTACAGAACTATTTAGAACCATCTTCTATCTAATCCCTGACTTAGAGGCATGTCTTAGCAGGCGTATGTTTCCAGTTTCCCCTACTTTCACACTCTAGCTGAGCTATTCAACCCAAGTTGGTTCACCTGGTGGACCACAGTGGCCATTGTCTTATCCGACAACACATTGGGTCCTACTTTGTGAATCAAATCCCCTACAAAAGGGAATGCCATATCTGGGATACTGGTCATCCCCATTTTCAAATATGCATTGGCACCCCAATGGCAAGTGAACCAGAACCACAAAATCACCCAGGTATAACCCACAAGTCGTTTCCACAACTTGTCAACCTTCTTGGTACCGCCGAGTCTACCGTAGATATTAATAACGATATCTTCAAAGTGAATAGCCATAGCGTTGCCAACAAAACAGGTGAAAACAGATAAAAAACGATCATTGAAGCTATGGAAGCGATTGGCGGGCATTGTATAAGTCATTAGACCGTGTGTGATGCCGCTGATGGCGAATGACACATAGAGCTTGAAATAAGAGTTGAAGTTTGTTCCAGGTCTCAGGTTTAGGAACCTAGCAAGAAAGTCGCTGTACCCGGCGAAGATCTTGAGAAAAGACCGTTAGTGCGGTTCGTTCATTACCGGCGCAGGAAACTTACCTTTCTGATGAACTGATGCCAAAAGGAGCCCCAGAACTTGCGCACGCTTGTGGCTTTGCTGATGTCTCCAAACGCCGGAGGCCAGTCCTGCATTGGCTGTTAGCATATTTATTACTCTCAACGGCAATCAGCAGGAGAACTCGCCTTTGGCTCACAGATGCCTAATAATACAGAGACAATTGAGGCAAAACAATAGTGCATCTGAATGGGGAAGTACAATTTGGCTCCAGCGCAAAAGGCATTGAGAAAAGAACCGGACCATGTGCGGGCTCTGAGATCCATGAAGGCCATATTGATTCCTTCATAGTGGTGATATGTATCAAAATACGTGTAGAGCAAGTCAGAAAGGATGTAGCTCTTTGCCCATTTCTGAAACTGATATACCAAGAAAGGCCATTTGCTCTCAGGTGCTTTCATTGAGGGAACACCCTTAACTTGGAAATTCCAGCCAATGCCTCGCTGGGTCGCAAGTAGCGACAGGGCCCAACGTAATTTTGCAAAACCAAAGGACATGGCCATAGCCTCTTGACGAGGCTTACCATTACGCCAATAGTCTTGTTCTGGAACTCCAAAGAGAAGCTTCTCCAAGGTCCCGAGAGCAACAGTCCAGTGAGCACCAGCAAGTGCGCGTCCTGCGGCTGTATTGGCAAAGTGTGTAGTGTATGTGGCACCCAGGAGGCCAGCAATGATGGGGACAAAAATGTGTTTCCGCAGTTTGAACGGTGGTAAAGTCAATGCCAGAAGTTGACTCAGTGGTAGTAAGAGATGAGGGAGAAAAGTCCCGTTGATGGGATTGATGATATCTTTGCTATCCATGGCGAATGTTGAAAGCCAGATAAAAAAGTTGAAGGATGGGGATGTGTCTTTGTGTGAGTATAGATAAGGCAGATAGAAGTTGAGCCACTAAGTTATATAGTGTAGCTCGAGTCTTTGTGCTTGCTCTTGGGAAAGGTGAAGGGAAAAGGAATCCTATAAGGTGCGGCGAGGATAGATGTAAAGCCCAAACTTGATCTGGACGCTTCAACAAACCTGGGAGAGCGGGGGAATCTCTAGACCCCGTAAACTCGAAGATTGTCTAGTTACTGGCCACACCAAGCAACCATCACCGTACCCCTTCAGCAGGATCAAAGCACCTACTTACCGGTGAGGAGACGGACGCCCGACGCCCGCGAAGCAGCAGATCATCACAGTTCAAGTTGAAGGAGGTGTTGGATGCCTTGGTGTCTTACAGAAGTTCCACTAGGAGCTGACGTGTTTCGCTGCAACTGCAATAGTATCGGTGTATATTGCGTCTGATATGAGGACGGCAGTCTTGATTGTAAGCGAGTTGCCATATCTCTATGGATAGGAAATGAAAGTGACTGATCACCCGGATAAGTTGCCGGCAGCCGTTGTGAGAAGGCAGCTCGACAACTAGCTATCTCACGAATCCGATCCAAGGAGTGTCTATACGACAGATACTGCGCCCCATTTACCCCATGGGGTTCTTGACTACCTACAGCGAGGAAGGTAGGTCGTTATCAGTCTATCCAGACATGCCTAAGCTAGTGAATGGATGAGAAAGGTTTGCACTAAGCTCGGGCGGCAACACTAGTTCCTCCAACCATGGTCAGACTACATGGGTGTGAATCGGTGATAAGCTTAAGACTGCATATTATGCGCGAATATTGCAAAGTACAATTCAGCCCTTGACTCTAACTTTTTGTTGCTTGACCGGGATAATGGTCCATGATCCTACGGATACGGAAGGACATTTTCGGCTTACACTTTGCATGATGGTTGCATCCACCTCGGAGTTAAAGGATGGACTAGGGGCTAGATGCATAGATCGGAGGCTCTGCAATTGGTGGGGGGGAGCGGGTAAAGCTGGCCAGTCAGAGGACCGTTTTAATAACGTCACAGTTGCAGGAACTTGTCAATAAACATTGTTTTGATACGTCACCAGAGGGAGGAATACGCTCGAACTGGGCTGACGTGAGAAACACCATCATCCGACCGGTTTGCTTTCCGAACCTCAACAGACGGCAACGCTCACGCATTCATGCTAGACAGACGCATTTTCTAGAAGCCCATGCCATTTTTCTTGTAGAGGGATAGTCATACCGTCTCAGTCTATCTGCTATTATCACGAAATCTCCTCTCGCTACTGTAACCACGCACAAGACAAACAGGAGTAAACAAAGTTTTAGAGATAGTCATATAGACCTAGCTTATGATTGGTTCTTGGATCAAATTTCTATTTGACATGGTAATTGGGCCTGACTACTATATCTATCGAATACATTGTAACGGCTTGATGAGCTACCAGCCAGATTATTCACATGAACTAATGTTTCTGATGCCATGGACCGGCATTTATTCATACAGTTCGTGCCTTCAACTTAGCCGTGACTCTCAAGTTGCTCGTAGGCCGCGCAATAGCACGATCAGTCATTACCATGGCCTCATCACTACCAGGACATAGCTCAATATCATATGTCGTGAAAATGTTGGCAAGAATTAGATGCATCTCCGTGAACGCAAGGCTAAATACGTCAGCTTTCATGTCGTCAGGCCTCAGATGGTGATACTTACTTTTTCCCGATGCAGTCCCGAGTACCCTTGGAAAACGAGACAAGCCAGTGATCTAATCCTCCGTCCTCAAGCCAACGCTCAGGCTTGAACTCGTGGGGAGAATCAAATAAATCTGGATCCATGTGAATCATGAGGTGACTCATTCCGACGACTGAACCAGCAGGAATGGTCTTGCCAGCAGAAGGCACAGTTAAACCACCGCGAGGGACAACCCGGGTTAATCGACCGGGAATGCCATGAGAAAAGCGAAGCGTCTCTTTGATGAAGCCCACCTACATATAGATTAGTCTGTTATGAAATTGTTGAAGGGTAATCAAACTCACAAAGTATGGCTGTGCTTCAATCTGCTGAATCGGCATGCGTCCATTCTCATCCAATTTGATGCTATTCAACTCGGCCATGATGCGAGACTGTACATGTGGATATTTGTGAAAGTAATAAGTGGCATATGTGATCGTAGTGGCTGTCGTCTCAAGGCCGGCAATCAGTAGTGAGACGCCTTCATCAGTTAGTTCTTTGAGACCAAATTTCGACTTGATGCCTCTTTCTTTCTCGCTCTTTTGATTGGCATCAAGGAGACGGTCAAATATTGTCTCATCTTTTGCTGACTTTGGCTCACGACCCTCTTTGTGATAGTCCGTTATGGCTTGAGATGCTTCAGCTTCAGTGAACTATGAGTTTGGATTAGTATGGATACTGCCACTCGAGCTACCTAGTTACTCACGTCAATTATTCCCACCCAAGACTCGTTCATCATCCTAACAAGCCATTGAGGCATATTCATCATCAAGTTACGAATGGCACCAAAATGAATGGAAATCCACACTCCTTTGGTAAAGCCACGGATCTCCTCGATTTTATCCGTAGCAAAGTCTGGCATCTCAATCAAATTGAGACACTTGCCAAAAATAACTCTTGAGATGATATCTCCCTAACATACAGTCAGTGTGGTTGAGGGAAAAGCAAGAACTGGACCGGTCCTTACAGCATAGCAGTAATAAGCCTCCTGGATTGGGATAATTCTTCCTTGGTTCACAAACTCGGTGATCTTTTCAAATACTCTGTCAAGTTCCTCGTACATGAGATCTTCCAACATGTTAATACGGCGCTTGGAGAAAGATGGGTTAAGCATCTCGCGCCTCTGGCGGTGAACAATGGGGTCCAGCAACACGTTGATAGCAGTTGGCACGCCAAATGAGTAGGCAAAAGGGTCCTTTGTGAACTTTGTCTTCTGGCCATAGATTCTACGCCGCGAGGTTAAGAGAAAAGTCAGATATGTGTGAGTATCTGATACTTACTCATGAAAGACTTGAGGATCTTTGATGTGTACCTCGTTGGGGTTGATTCTCACGATAGGACCTATACTCCTGTTAGAATCGATTTTGTGCGAGTCAAACTCTCAGAGGGTTCAATCTTACCATATTTTTCGTGAAGACCTGGAAGCCTCTCTAGCATCTTGCCTCCCCTGATGGCTTCAAAATACATCTGATAATGCCATGAGATACGGCAGAGAAAAGGCCCCGGGAAGGGAGCCAGAGGATGAAAGGTCAATCGGTAAATGACCAGGAATAACATATACAGGAGTGAAAGGCCAGTGTAGGCAACAACCAAAGCCACCAAACGGCCTTGGAAAGTCTCGGGCAGAGGGCCCAAGACGTCAGTGATGGTGTTCAGAATAGCCATTGTTTTGTTGCTGGTGGGCGATATCAAGTGGTTTGTGCTAAGTTTTGGGATGGAGTTGAAGAAAGTAAGAAGCAAGCTTGGTATGATGAATACTGTATCTTAAGACTGGGAAATGATTGACTACCCATTATCCGTAACCTTAGAATTGATAGAAGTCGTCAAAGACCCATGCTGATACGTACTATCTGTTGACTAAGCGTGGTGAGGTGAGGCGCGGACGGGAACTGTTAGATCGGCGTAAGCTTACCTTAGGTACCTTATCGCGGGGAAAATGGGGTCACCTTGTGTCTGTCTCACTTGCATTAGTACCTTGTGTCTGTAAGCACCAAGGGACGGGCCGGAAAGACCGGCTCTTAGGTTGGTCAGATTATATATAACACCCCCTAACTGATATGCGATATGTTGATATGTAGGTATGCATGAGACACTCCTACGCACATGCATCCATCCATGCCACCACGGTCGCTTAAATTTACCACCTACTCCGTACCCCGCCATCCATCTTCGCGACATCACCTCAGTCAGTTAACGACTTTCACACTGCCTCATCAACGCCACTCACTCTTCATCCTTCAACAAAGTTCCTGCAAGTTAATCTCTCGATTCCTTCCTTCGCCTCCGTACGTACGCCGGCAATGTCTTCATTCGCTACAAGTCCGACATTGTACCCCCCGCCTCTGATTGATGCTGCGGCCGCTCCCATTGAAAATCCCCTGCTGGTGACGCCTGTCGAGGGAGATATCTTCACCAACTCTCAGTACGTGCTCAGCACATACGCTTGACAACAAATCTAAGGTAGCTAATGCTGCAGCGCTTACTTAGCCCTCTATGGAAACCACCTCAAGGCCGGACTGTGTTTGGTGGAATCTTGATCGGTCAAGCCATTCAAGCGGCTCATCAAACAGTCGCCTCCGATTTCTTTGTCCACCACATGAATTGTTCCTTCCATGCACCCCCCGATGCTGAGAAGCCGATCTACATCCGCGTCTCACGGACTGCCGATGGCAGGTCATCTGCTTCGAGAGACGTCAAGATCACACAAGACGAGACCATCTTCTTTTCAGCTCAATGCACTTTCTCGCGAAGTGGGCGAGTAAACCCTGCCGTACACCAGTCTAGCCCACCTCCATTGGGGGCCATCCCTCGAGATCCCGAATTATCCCAGTCAGACAAGATGGCCTTTTCTCAAGAGATGGTAAGTTTGACAGCCTGCTTGTTCCGGCAGGCCATACAGTTGTGAACTGGCCAATTGCTCAAACTCTATTCAGGCTCGGTCAGGGTTCCTTACTTTCAAAGGGCCAAACACAAGTCGGCCAGATGTTGATCCATTCTTATGGCATGATGTAGCATCGATAGAGGATCCGGTATCCACTCCGTCTACAAACACGATCTACTCATGGACGAGATCCTACGGAAACATGACCGACTCCCGGATAAGCCACTTGGCTGTCCTTGGTTGCCTAACAGATTCCTGGGCTCTCACCAGTCTTTCGCTCATGAACCCCACCTCAGTTGGGGAGGATGGAAGGAATATCACCGCCATAGCTACATTGAATCAC